CGATAGTGAGATCGATTGGGTCAGATGTTGGTTCCCCCCCTTTCCCCCCCCACAACCTCCTTATCACCCGAAGGGTTGTCGTAAAGGTATTTCTATGTGCATGTATATGTATATGTACACATCTATGGAAATGTCTTTTTCGTTCCCGTCAAAATGTGGAATGTTCCTAAGTTGCCTGGCCGGTGTCGGGGGGCACTGTTGCTGTCAGAACTGGTTCCGTCCGAGGGACACGCGCGTCGAAACATTCTCAAGGCTGTGAGGCGGCCAGGCCCGCTTCGCCTGCGACATCCTCGCGACTCCGAGTTTCTGAGTTCCCAGACGCCGCGCGAAAAGTGGTCCAACCCATTTTACCTGAAATATCCTTGCAGTTCCAGATTTCACCAGAGTCGTGGGACAGATGAGCCATGACCACTCGTTTTTCTTTCATCAGGCGTGATGGCTCGTGTCTTGTTGTGGGAAGGACTGATTCCGCCAAGAGGACCTGCGCATCAAGACACTCTGAAATTCTCAGGTGTCCCAGCTCGTTTCGTCTGAGACATCCTCGCTTCGCTCGCTTCCGAGCCCAACGAGGAGACAGAGGAGAGGAGGTGGGACGAGGCAGGGGCTGGGGCCTCTCTAGTAGGGTCTCCAGCCTCCGCCGGGAGCGGCGGCCGGGCCACGAGAGAGCGGGAGACAGCTCCCGTGTTCGGCTTTGAAGCGTGCACGGCGTACGGCCCACCAGCATACCACCACAGGCGGGAAGGGGGCCGGCGGGCGGTCGTCGGGGCCGCCGTCGGCAAGCGGGTGGCAGGCGTCGGGGCGGGGGGCGGTTGGCGGCCCAGGCCGCGCCCAGCTGAGCCGGGTGAGGAGGCTGGCTGGGGGAAGGAGGCGCGGCCGCCGCTTCGGGGGTAGAGCGCCGTTAGGACCTACGGCCGCTCGCTGCCGAGCCGTGGGCCCATCTAGGGGCCAGAGCAGAGCTGGAGCCCTGAGGCAGGGCCTCCAAGATGTGGATCCCGAGCTTGCACGACATCACCTGCGGCCGGGACCCCTCCTGAGTGGTAGGGCCGGCGCTCGTAGTGCTCCAGCCTGTTTTGGCCGTCTTTGGGCTGAGCCGCCCACCAGTCCTCGACGACACCGTAGGCCCGACCGAGAGCGGCGCGATCGGGGGCGAAGCGGTGGCACTCGGCGCAGAAGTGCTGGGCGGAGGCGGCGAGGTGCCCGCAGAACGGGCAGGGGGCCTCAATGTGAGCCAGGCGCGTCGGGACCCGAGCAGTCCCTCCGTGTCAGGCCGACAGGAGGCTAATTTGATGCTTCGTCAAGCTTCGGCGCCACTGGCTCCACGGGGGGGCCTCAAAGGACGCCTGGATGGCGTTGTCCAGCAAACCCTCCTCGTCGTGGCGGGGCCCGTGGTCGCTGAGCGCGTTCCACGATGGGCAAAGTGCCCACTCGCAAACGTCTCAAAAACGCATTCGTGTCTCGGTGTCATAGACCGTAGATCCCCCGTGGCGGCTCCAGGCTATTTGTTCGGATGCAACTCCTGGGAGGGCAAGTTCTGATTTTGCCCTGGTCCGAATTCCAGCTGAATCCCGCTGAATCCCGCTTAATCCCGTTTTATCCTGGTTAATCCGGCTTAATCCGAGGCCCACTCTGGCGTAAGAGCCCCCCAGTGGGGCTTAATCCTCTTTTTAGGTCTTTCCGACGAAAACCTCCTTGTATTTGCCTCCGGATATTTGCGAGTAGTTACTTTGCGAGTAGCGGCACGCGCCTGCCTGGGTGGGCGCGACCCGGAAGAAGCTGGGCTCGGGGGCAGACCCGGAGCACGCGCCGCCCGCTCGGCGAGGGCGGGAAGCCCGAGGAAGCCGCGGCCTCGGCTGAAGTAGAGCATGCTCCTCTACAGGAGGAAGCTCAAAAGTAGTCAAACATTGTCTGGGTACGAAAATATTAGATAAACAATGTTGAGTCTTTGTTCGACTATTTTGCTGCATTTTTCTTCCAACATCCGCCTGTAGGAGGACATGCCCGACCCAAGCCTCGGCCGCGGCGGTCGTCGCCCGAGGGCTGCGAGGTTGGGCCCAGCGCGGGCCCAGGCGGGCAGCCACCCGGGCGAAGGGTCGCCGCGCGGTGGGACACCCAGGGCCGCCAGAGGGGCGGCCGTGGGAAGCGGCTGGCCTGGCGGAGGGCCTGGATCGGCCACGCGCAGAGGGGGGGTAGGGGGAGAGGGGAAGGCCTTTGAGAAGCACGGCTGCTTCTTAGAAGGCGCGGGCCTTGTCCGGGTAGGGGTAGGGGGGAAGGCCTTTTAGAAGCACGCCTGCTTCTTATGAGGCGCGGGCCTTGTCCGGGTAGATGCCAGGCTGGCGCCTTCGAAGAAGCGGCCTGCTAAGAAGCCTTCCCCCCTCCCCCTACCACCTGGTGCGCGCCGCCAAAGAGGGACGGCCGTGGGAAGCGGCTGGCCTGGCGGATGGCCTGGAATGAGGCACCGAAGGCGGGCTGGAGCTCGAGGCGCTCGGCCCACCAGCGCCGCTGGTCTCGCCAAGTGCAGCGGGTGCGGGCGGCACACCAGAAGGTGAGCTTGGCCAAGGAGGCGGGGAGGCACTCCACGAAGGGGACAGCCAACCGGCATTTCGAAGTCACGCGCACGACCGCCGTGGTGGCGCGCACGCCCGTGCTGCCGGGGGTGTGCAGCAGCTTGCGCGTGCAGCCCTCGATGACGCCCCAGCCGTCGCGAGGGCCCGGGACCTGCGGGAAAAGGTGAGCGACGCAAAAAAGGCGGGGTCGTCTGCGCCGACATTGGCGCGTCAGCTGCCCTTGTACGGTTGCGCGTAAGGCCGCGCGTAAGCGCCCTCATGGTGATGGAGATTTTGCGCATGATGCTGCTGCGGGCGCTGGTGATGAGATGGTGTTGATGATATCGATGGTGATGAAGATGATCGTGGGGATGCGGTTGCTGCGTAATTTACGAAGGGTCGTGGCTTGGAGGACTCAAACATGGGGTAATTTACGAACGATCGTGGCCTCGGAGACGCGAGTATTGTGTAATGTGCGAGGGATCGTGGCCTCGAGTCAGCGCATATTGCGTCTTTCGAAAAGTCGTGGCCTCGGGCAAACACATATTGCGAGTTTTCGAATGACTATTGCCTCGGGGACGCGAGCATGGCGTAATTTACTGCAAGGGTTTGTGGCTCCGGGGGCGTAATTTACGAGGGACCGTGGCCTCGAGGACGCGAATATAGCGTATTGTTTTCGGGGACGCAGATATTGCATGATTGGCACGGGGTTTTGGCCTCGGGGGCGCAATTTTCGTGCAACTTGACTAGGATTGTGGTTTCGGGGGCGCGAGCAAAGGGTCATCTACTAGGGATTTGGGCTTCGGGGACGCGACTGTCGTTCAATTTACGATGGGCTATGGCTCCGGGCAAGCGAAGATAACATAATTTGCAAGGGTTTATGGCTTCGGGGGCGCAACTATCAGGCATGTACGAGCGATTCAGGCCTCGGGGACGCAACTATTGCATAATTTATGAGCGAGTCTGGCTGAGGGGACGCAGCTAGTGCTTCATTTACGAGGGTTGTATGGCCCTCGGGGCTGGAAATCTGGTATAAGTCATGAAGGAGTGTGGCTTCGGGGACGCGACTACGGCGTAGTTTACGAGGGTTTATGGCCTCGGGGATGCGCATACCGTGTAATGTACGAGGGGTTATGGCCTCGGGGACCCGAATCTTCTATAACTTCAACGGGATATGACATCGGGGACGCGAACATCGAGTTATTTACAAGGTTTTATTGTTTCGGTGGCGCGAATCAAAATTTTTGTGTGTCCCACGGCCCCGCAGGACTTCTGGTGATATGATTGTTGGAAGCTAGTCGTGCGGTTTTCGGCCTCCTCCGCGCGCGGACTTGAATAGTTTGCAAGAGGAAGTAGGACGTGGGACGATATGATTGGAAAGCTGGAACTGGTGCAGGGAGCAGCAAGCCTAATCCGCGCAGCCTGATGGCCCCGCGAGGGGGCCCTTCGGTCTATTCCGCGACCGCGCCTTGGTTGTATGTCAGAGGCCTCTTGGATGCTTGTGGTGATCTCTCGGGAGGCATTTCGGAAGCCTAGCGGCGATAATGACGACGAGGGTTCGCGACGAAGTCTCACACCAAACACGCAGTCCGCCCTACTCGGCGTAATACAGCATTCCGCGCAGCAAAGTCCAGAGTAGCATCGAGCCGAGTACCACATCATGCCAATTCGAGCGTATAGCGCATGGCAGTCATGCCATAATAACGGACTACTTACATTCCTTACCTGGTTCGCGGTTCTCAAGTTTGGCCTTCCATTGTTTCCTTGGATCGTGCGTCTCTTGGGGCTTCTTGTTGCGTCTTGGGGGCATTCAGCCTTTGGGCAGTCGTTGTGCCGTCTTCGGCTGGTCTTGGAACATTTTGCAGCCGTCTGGGAGTAAAGGCCGAAAAGAGAGTCAGAGTGCGGCACCAGAGGGGGTGTGCGACCTGAAACAGTTTGCATGTAAGGGGGACGCCCACAGAAAACTACCAGAGCCCCTGTCGGCGCTCTGATGGCGTTCGAACGAGCGCAGGGAGGAGAGGAGTGGAGTGGAGTGGAGTGCAGAGGCGATAGGATGAGCGGAGCGGAGTGCAGAGGAGCGGGTTGGAGTGGAGCCGAGCTCAGAGGAGTGTAGTGGACGTGAGCGGAGTGCAGCGGAGGGGGGAGTGGAGTGGGCACGGAGGAGGGCAGCTCCCCTGCGAAGGCGGCGTGGCGGACTGCAGCTCGGCTTGGATCGACAGACTGGCGGCAGGCCCAGGCACCAAGCGTGCTGTGACTCTATCACAGCGCGGCTCCCTGGAGATCTGGATCCCTTCGTGGGCAGCCGCTTTTCATCTCGAGTCGGCTTCTGACGGTCCCAGGTCCCAGTGAGGGACCCCAGTCGCCGAACACAGCCATAAAAGCACTCGGCCACGATGTCTTCGCGGCGCGAGGATGTGAGGCGAGGCGGGTGGCAGCAGAGGGCAGCAGAGGGTGGAGGTGTTTCCCAGCGGCCTCGTGTCGAAGATCCTGCTGAGACCGCAGTGCGCCCTCTCCAAGTTCACACCGCCCGAAAAGCTCGCCAAGTGCCCCAAGGCGAAGCCGTACGACAAGGCACCCTCGTATCCGGTCGAGGTGGCAAAAGTCGGCCACGGCCGGTTTTTCTACGTGGTCGAAACCTGGAGGCAATTCTCCTGTCCCAGGACTGTCAAGAAACGGCCCAGAGGTTCAGCTTGGCGAAGTGGTCGAAGCCCAGGGTGCAGACGACACGAACAGAAATGCAACGTTGGATGAGGGGGCGATAAGCCGCGTGCGATACAGACGGGTTCACCTGGCACCGTCGAGATTCGCACCCGGACTGGTTTCAAGACACGCACCGTTCATCTCGACTTATTTCTTCCTCCTTTTTTTCCCTCTCTGCCTCCGGGATTGAATCTCCAGATATGTTGGGCCAGTCATCTCAGCTTGATACATATGCCGCAGCTCCACTCCCAGGCCCGCATTTCCTCACTCCGATTTTATGTATGCCCCGCGAGCTACGTCAAGCGTCAAAGGACGAGGCAAGGGTCGGAGCAAGTATTGGGCGTGGGTCGGCGGGTGGTGGGTTCGCGGACTGCGTACCTTTGAATCCTGCCCCTTGACCTGGCTGCGCGCTATTGGAGGGGGTGCAGGTACCTTCATATCCAGGCTTTGCATTTTTCCAAACCATCCTGTGGTGTTGGGTCCTCGTTTTGAAGAGACCGTCCCCTCATCTCCTCTCTCTCCTCCTCCTCCCGCTCCTCCTTCCTCCCGTTGCCCCCCTCACTTTGGCACACCCCTCAGACGTTTCGTGGCCCCATTGGGAGCTCCACCGAAGGCCCCAGTGGCATGGTTCGCATGCAGCCCCCCCTGCACTTGGGCACACCCCTCACACGTTTCGTGGCCCCACAGGGAGCTCCACCGAAGGCTCCAGTGACATGGTTCGCATGCCGCCCCCCCTGCACTTCGGCACACCCCATACACGTTTCGTGGTCCCACAGGGAGCTCCACCGAAGGTCCCAGTGGCATGGTTCGCATGCCGCCCCCCTGCACTTCGGCACACCTCTCACACGTTTCGTGGCCCCATAGGGAACTCCACCGAAGACCCCAGTGGCATGGTTCGCATGCCGCCTCCCCTCTGTTTTGGCACACCTCTCACACGTTTCGTGACCCCATAGGGAGCTCCACCGAAGGCTCCGGTGGCATGGCTCGCATGGCGCCTCCCTTTATTTTGGCACACCCCTCACACGTTTCGCGGCTCCAGTAGCATGGCTCGCATGCCGCCTCCCCTTCATTGTGGCACACCCCTCACACGTTTCGTGGCCCCATAGGGAGCTCCACCGAAGGCCCCAGCGGCAGCGCCCGCAGCGGCGCACCCTTCGCGCGTTTCGTGCCCATAGGGAGCTCCACCGAAGGCAGTTAACACAACGTCGGTATTCACAGCTGCATGTGGTTGGGTCCTTCGCCAGGATCATATCACACTGGGCGTTTTCATCCAATTTCGGGCTCCTGGACCATCATGGATCGGTCCGGCTTAAAAGCCTTGTCGGGAAGATGGGGTCTGTGACTCTGGTCGTGATTTTTTGCGATGTTGTGTTTTGTTGACAGCGTCGGATCCCAGGGTAGGCCAGTGTCGCTTTGCATCGTGCGCTGGTTGTTCCGTAACGATGTCCGCGGGGTGCAGAAGCTGCCCGACTTTCAGGTCTTCCTTTCCGAAAACGTTAGACTTTCTCACCATGAGTTTTTCATTCATTATTTTCTTCCTCGTGCTCCTCCTTCTTCCTCTCCCTATCGTCGTCGTCCTTTTCGCGGAGTTCTGATGGAGGATGAAGAGTGGAGGAGGAGGAAAAGGAGGTGGAGGAGGAGGAGGAGGAGGCGGATTAGGATCGCGGGAGCAGGATGAGTTGTTTGCAAGGAGGAGGAGGAGGAGGAGCAGGAGGAGGAACAAGGGGGAGGAGGACGAGACGGCGGATGAGGAGGAGGAGAAGGGTAATGAGTGCGGGAGGAGGAGGAGGAGTGAGGAGGATGACGAGGATGATGAGGAGGGAGGGTGTGGAATGAGGGAGGCGAGGGCGGGGTAGGATGTAATGTTCCACTCTTCGCCTCTTTGGACCGTCGGGCTACCCGATCCCGGTTGCAGACACGTGGCTGACTTGGATGTATGGATGCCCTGGTTTCCCCTTCCCCTTTAACCTCTCTTGCTCCT